GGTGGACTGAGGTTGGAGCTGGCCTTCCGGCAGGATCAGCCCCCAGTGGTGGACTGAGGTTGGAGCTGGCCTTCCGGCAGGATCAGCCCCCAGTGGTGGACTGAGGTTGGAGCTGGCCTTCCGGCAGGATCAGCCCCCAGTGGTGGACTGAGGTTGTGCTGAACCTGCTGGCAGGGCCAACCCCCAGCCATAGGCTGAGGTTGTGCTGGCCTTCCTGCTGGCGAGGCCAGCCCCTGGTCATGGACTGGGGTTGAGCTGGCCCACCATTGTGCAGGAAGTCTGGTTGGGCAAGACAATGGGGAGGAGAGCGGGGTGGTGGTGGGTCAGTTGAATCGGCAGCACGCACTAAAGGTGTACGCCAGGGGTTCCCAAACTTTCTTGGCCCAAGACCCCATTTTGATATCTGAAAATTCTCGCGACCCCAACCATGTATGTAATTAACAGCCAATGTTTATTTTTTTATTTGGGGCAATGGCAGTCAACTTGAAAACATTGTAACAGTATTTCTGATTGTCTTCTCAACTCGCCATCACATACTTTTGATGTGTACTTTTAATGTGGGCTATGCAAATTAGTCTGACATAATGTATCTTATCTCACCACCACTAATGAGATGGGTGTGTTTGATACATGTCGCATCGGAGCTTCTCAAAGTCAGTGGGTCGACAGTGCGGACCTTATCTCTGCTGTCACATCCAACCTGGATCGATATTTGGTTTTAATGCAGACGAGAGCACTGAATCCAGCTTCACACAGATATGAGCTGGTGAGGGGTACCATGAGTTTTATGGTGCTTTCAAGACAACTGGGAACTCTGAAAAATACGAGGTCAAATCATGACGTCGGTGATCTTCAGGTCGGAAAGTCGGAGCTATAGAAAGAGGCCAGAATTCCCGAGTTGGAATTCCGAGTTGGACAACCGTTCAAACCGATTTCTCCCAGTCGGAGCTAGTTTTTTTCAGAGTTCCCAGTTGTCTTGAACGCACTGAAGTTGGAAGTTGGAGATTTCAGTTACTACTTCCCAGTTATATTGCATTAATGCTCAGAGGGAGACGGCAGGGTATTCCCTTTGAGTCAAGAACCAAAACTCCTCCTTAGTGACCAATGAATGCATTCGGTCACATGACAGCTCGATCAGCTGTTTGATTTAATTTACTGGCATGTTAACTGAGCCAGGATCACAGTCAAATGGATTGGGAAGTAGGTCCCAAAGTGCTCTTCCAAGTGTTGGAGGTGAGCAGTCATCACTCGAGTGGGACACTTACTGATGCTGTTTTCTGTTAGTAACATACACAGCCGAGGGAAGAAGGCATGGTTCGCTTTTGAAAGACTCTCTCTCCAATGAGAATTATTTCCTCCGAATCCACTGATTCGGTAACTCATCTGTAGAATGTTTTTGTATTTCCCCTGCATGCTTGCATTCAGTTCGTTCAGTTTCCCAAATATGTCTGTTACATATGCAAGGAGTCACATTTTATTTTCATTACACAGAAAGTCCGTTTTTTACATACATTGTGAATGACAACAGTTCCTCTCTCAATGCGAAAAATCTTTCCAACACTCCCCCTCGATAACCACCAAGCCTGTGAAATAGAACCGACATGCGCACAGTGGATGTTGTTTGATATAGTTTACAATCAAAGTTACCTGCTGCAGTATATCTCCGAGTTCTGTACTCAGCTCTTTTGTTGCCAGTTGCTCTCGGTGTAACATACAATGCGTCCATATGGCAGAGGGAGACACATTCCTAACTAGAGTGCAGAGGCCTGCCTACCGTCCAGACATTGATGGAGCCCCATCTGTGCAAAAGCCCACCATTAGATCCCATGGAATCAGTTTTTCGTCAATATAGCCACGCAGCACACTGAACATCCCCTGTGCCGTTTCATCCTCGGGAATCGTGAGACAGAACAATATGTCCTCGTAAATAGCATCCCCCGACATGTATAGCCAACAAAAGTCAATGCATGGGCATCTTGGCCCTCACAGCTAACGTCCATTTGGAGAGCATAAGCTGGGGAGTTTTTGAGTCTTTCAGTCAGTTTCCACTTGATTGCTAGCAATAGCATAAGTTCTTTGTTTAACAGTGTTATCTGACAAAGGTACTAATGTGAGTTTCTGTGCCTCTGCCTCCCCACACATTGTTTTCACCATATCAATTGCGGCCGGTAACGTCAAAGTCTCTCCAATAGTGTGTGGTTTCATAGTGTAGAGGGCCTAGCCATTCACTATGCACTATCGTGGCTCGCAGTCGCCTTCCAATTCATCCGAAAAGATTGATGGGGTTGAGGTCACGGCTCTGTCAGGCCAGGCAAGTTCTTCCACACCAATCTCGACAAACCATTTATGTATGGACCTCACTTTGTGCACAGGGGCAATGTCATGCTGAAACAGGAAAGGGCTTTCCCCAAACTGTTGCCACAAAGTTGGAAGCACAGAATCGTCTAGAATGTAATTGTATGCTGTAGCGTTAAGATTTCCCTTCACTGGAACTAAGGGGCCTACCCTGAACCATGAAAAACATCCCCAGAACATTATTCCTCCTCCACCAAACTTTACAGTTGGCGCTATGCGTTAGGGCAGGTAGCGTTCTGCTGGCATCTGCCAAACCCATATTCATCCGCCGGACTGCCAGATGGTGAAGCGTGATTCATCACTCCAGAGAACACGTTTCCAGTGCTCCAGAGTCCAATGGCGGCGAGCGTTACACCACTCCAGCCGGCGCTTGGCATTGCGCATGGTGATTTTAGGCTTGTGTGCGGCTGCTCGGCCATGGAAACCCATTTCATGAAGCTCCCGACGAACAGTTCATGTTGAAGTTGCCTCCAGAGGCAGTTTGGAACTTGGTAGTGAGTGTTGCAACCAAGGACAGACGATTTTTAAGCGCTATGTGCTTCAGCACTCTGTGGTCCCATTCTGTGAGCTTCTGTGGCCTACCACTTCCCCTCTGAGCTGTTGATGCTCCTAGACATTTCCACTTCACAATAACACTACTTACAGCAGACAAGGGCAACTCTAGCAGGGCAGAAATTTGACGAACTGACTTGTTGGAAAGGTGGCATCCTATGACAGTGGTGCCACTTTGAAAGTCACTGAGCTTTTCAGTAAGGCCATTCTACGGCCATTGTTTGTCTATGGAGATTGCATGGCTGTGTGCGCTATTTTATACACCTGTCAGCAACGGGTGTGGCTGAAATAGCCGAATCCACTAATTTGAAGGGTCCACATACTTTTGACCATGTAGTGTAATTTATTATAGTAGTAGTGGGAGGACCACACACCATATGCGTGACTCTACAGTGAGGGAAAAAAGTATTTGATCCCCTGCTGATTTTGTACGTTTGCTCACTGACAAAGAAATGATCATTCTATAATTTTAATGGTAGGTTTATTTGAACAGTGAGAGACAGAATAACAACAACAAAATCCAGAAACACGCATGTCAAAAATGTTATAAATTGATTTGCATTTTAATGAGGGAAATAAGTATTTGACCCCCTCTCAATCAGAAAGATTTCTGGCTCCCAGGTGTCTTTTATACAGGCAACGAGCTGAGATTAGGAGCACACTCTTAAAGGGAGTGCTCCTAATCTCAGCTTGTTACCTGTATAAAAGACACATGTCCACAGAAGCAATCAATCAATCAGATTCCAAACTCTCCACCATGGCCAAGACCAAAGAGCTCTCCAAGGATGTCAGGGACAAGATTGTAGACCTACACAAGACCCCAAGAACACCATCCCCACCGTCAAACATGGAGGTGGAAACATTATGCTTTAGGGGGGGTTTTCTGCTAAGGGGACAGGACAACTTCACCGCATCAAAGGGACGATGGACGGGGCCATGTACCGTCAAAAGCCAGGGAATTGAAAATGGGTCGTGGATGGTTATTCCAGCATGACAATGACCCAAAACACACGGCCAAGGCAACAAAGGAGTGGCTCAAGAAGAAGCACATTAAGGTCCTGGAGTGGCCTAGCCAGTCTCCAGACCTTAATCCCATAGAAAATCTGTGGAGGGAGCTGAAGGTTCGAGTTGTCAAACGTCAGGCTCAAAACCTTCATGACTTGGAGAAGATCTGCAAAGAGGAGTGGGACAAAATCCCTCCTGAGATGTGTGCAAACCTGGTGGCCAACTACAAGAAACGTCTGACCTCTGTGATTGCCAACAAGGGCTTTGCCACCAAGTACTAAGTCATATTTTGCAGAGGGGTCAAATACTTATTTCCCTCATAAAAATGCAAATCAATTTATAACATTTTTGACATGCGTTTTTCTGGATTTTTTTGTTGTCTCTCACTGTTCAAATAAACCTACCAATTAAAATGATAGACTGATCATGTCTTTGTCAGTGGGCAAACGTACAAAATCAGCAGGGGATCAAATACTTTTTTCCCTCACTGTATATCAATAATTGCGCATAAAGGCGTTTCCACCGCCAATTCTCACATAATTAATTTTACCGACACTAAAAGATCCCACCATGTCGAACGAACAAATTATATTTTTGTATTTCTACAATTGTCCTAAACTTTCTGTTTCCATCACAGCTGTCGTGATTTTTTTTTTATATGGTATGACTTTCCTCGCACTGTGGATGGAAACGTTGTTACAGGTGGGAAAATAGGCATATTTTCTACACGCGGATTTGTGAATATTCGCATGAAAATCTGTGCCAATTGGAAACCTAGCTAGTGATTAAACTGTGGAAGTGCTCTTACTTTTTCAACCAAGTTTAGGGCAGGTGCGGGAGTTTCCCATGCGCTAGAGACGAGTGGTATATAAAGAGCGTACAAAGGCACAGTTGGCATCCTGTTCACGCTTCAACGCCACTAGCCAACTCCCCTAAGAGTTAAACGATCACTCTAAAGTTAGAGTATTTAGAAAAACGTACTAAACTTTTCAAAATACATTTTAGAAATATAGAAAATAGCATACAATTAATTTCAGGTATTTTATGGTTGGCTAATCTCATTTTTGTTCTAATTTTGTCTCAGAATCATGGACTTCGATTTGGCGGATGCTCTGCGGAGGTAGGCTGTCTCCTGAATTGATTCCTGAGGAATACTGTATTTTTTGTTTGCATGTATTTGTTAGCCTTAAACCTATTTCCAATTTGCATGCTGATGTATAGGCTACAGTTTGCACAAACCTTTGTTAGACCCACCTCGATATAAAAATAACTTGTTTATCTGAGCTTGAAGAGGAAGATGAGATTTAAGGCTAACACCTTTTGTGTTTTTTCCCTGAAGCTCTTATTCGGAGAGTATGGGGTTTGATGCGGAATGCAGCCTGTCTGGTGCGAAGGTAAGACATTTTGCTACACATTGTATAAAAAAGGATGGCAAGCGCTACAAGGATTAGGATACACTAGTTGTAGAACATTAAAAACGTAGGTTGAGTCAGTGTGCTCATGCATAAAGAGGACCAATAAGGCACTCTGATATTAAATTGCCTTAATAGTGGTGGCATGTTCAATAGAACAGTCTTTAAAATCTCTTTAAACCTCAAACCTTTAAAACTGAGGGAAACCTGGGACAACTCCAGAAAATAGATATTTTTTTCTTTTCTTGACAGAATGTATTTATTTTTTTCTACTTGGACTCTCATTCGAATTACTTGTATGTGTGTAGGGTGGACCAGAAATGGAGCTGCACCTGGGCCTGAGCTTTGAACTGGAGGTTCTCCAGCAGCGTCAGGGAGGCATGAGACAGGTGGCTCACCTGGTGATAGCGATGCACAGGATGAAACACACCTTCCAGAAGTCCGACTCCATACACACTCCCCTGGGCATGGAGTGCACCGACGAACAGCTTTGCAGCATCATCATGGACAACCTGGTGGAAGGTACATAGACTGCCATGCCGTATAGTCACCAATAGACAATCTATATTATTTGATTAGACTGTACTCTGGACTGATTTTCTGTTTCTTTAGGCCCAGGTCACTGTTAACAATTCAGTTGATTGATAGTCCCTGTCCCATGTCCCCCACACTCCCCTCTCCCCACTTGTATTTTCCCCTACTGCTACCCCCTCCCTCCTCCTCTGTGTAGATTGTGTGATGGAGCGGGTCCAGGAGCCAGAAGGAGCGATGGCTAAAAAGGCTGAGGGGACCTTCAAGCGGATGGACAGCCCCGAGCAGTGCACCCTGCGTGACCATTACCAGAAGAGCGTGGTGCACTACCCTGAAACCATGGTGCTACAGGCCGTTACACTGCAGGGAGGCAACAACCACCTGAGAGGTAGGCTAACTGCCAAACTACATTGCAAGCACAGTGTAAGCATTCCGTAAGCGTCGTTTTTTTGGCAGCCTTTACCAAAATCGGCAACATCACAGTTGAGTGTTAATATCACAGTTGAGTGTTAAAAATGACTAAAATAGTGAAAATGCCCTTTAACTCTCTCTCTCTCTTTCTCTCTCTGTCTCTCAGCGAGGTTCAACCTCTCCATGTATGATATTAATATGGACTCCTCCACTATCCATGCCAAGCCAGTTGTCTTGGGGATTGCCAGTAGCAACTTCAACTTGTCCTGCTCCATGCAGACAGACAGCACAACTCCTATCCTACAGTTGGAGGTGTGTTTCACTCTCTCACTTTCACAAACACACACACACTTACCTCTACATACTCAATTCACCTCTCATCATCCTAATCATTTCTCCTCCCCTCCCATTCTCTCTTTCTCAGCTGTGTTCTGAGGACCAGTTGAAGACCATCAGCGCTCAGGGAGACACAGTTCGCTTCCTCTTCTACAAGACAACCCAAGGCATCTCCCTGACAACCTTCGAGTCGGCCAAGTACCCCGGCTGGTTCATCAGCACCTCACTGGAGCAACGCAAGCCCATAGAGATGTGTCAGAAAGAGGACGTCAGAAATATCAACTTCTCAGTCAAAAACTAAACACACACACACACCCCATCCCAAGAGTGTATGTACCAGGTACAGCCAGAGAGAGAGTTCAGACAGATGGATACTGTAGACATCTTGAATTGATAGACCCTTCTACCACCACACTCTTAGAAAAAAGGGTTCCAGAAGGGTTCTTCGGCTATCCCCATAGGAGAACCCTTTTTGGTTCCAGGTAGAACCCTCTGTGGAAAGGATTCTACATGGAACCCAAAAGCATTCTACCTGGAAACCAAAATGGTTCTACTTGGAACCAAAACGGGTTCTTCAAAGGGTTCTGCTATGGGGACAGCCGAATAACCCTTTCATATCTAGATAGCGCCTTTTTTTCTGAGCGCACCAATGTCAATTGAAAGTGGTTTGGTTGTAGTGAGTGTGCGTGCGTGCGTGACCAGCAGGTGGTGCTGTGTGTTCATTCTCTCCTTTGCAGTGTCGCGTTGTGCCTCAGTAGCCCGGGCTCGCTCTCTTTCAGGGACCGCCCAGTAACTACTGATCACGCTGTAGGCTAGAGACAGGATCAAGAAACCCTTGCTCTAGCTTCGCAACGTTTTAGTCACAGACCGTAAATGCTCAAAGTGTGAATTTAAAAAAAAAAAAATAGTTACTTCATATTGAATTATTTCTCTTATGGTTGCAGTTCCACGGGCTAAGTAGAGTATGGCAATATTACAGTATAGTATAATCATTAATCGTCCTCCAAGCAGGACAGTTGTGATTTGTTTTTATTTTGTCTACTTTTTGGGTAATATATCGTTTTGGGAAAATCGTTTTTGAATGTGTCTGTTTGTGCTCTGACTGAATGATATGCTTCATATTAGTGAAGATTAGATTTTTAAGCTATTTTGTTTTATTTCCTATAAGAAAGTTAATCATTATTTTTCCTTGTCTAACATTGCAGATGTCATTTGTATTTGAAGTATTATCAACTGTGAAATTGTGACATGTAATGCTATTTTGTTTATTTTCTATAAGAAAGTCAATCATCCCTTTTCTAATATTATGATTAATTATATATTTATGTATTACGTATTTAAAAAGCTAAGCTAATATACTATATTACTGCTAACATCAACTAATATGTAATAAACTATGTTCTTTGTCATTTTTCTTTTTAAAGCAAATATTGTAGTATTTCAATGATTCAAGACTGTTTTTATTTTACATTTTTTAAAACATTTTCAATGATTATATGATGATGTCTTTTGCTGTATGTTGGAAGTACAGTTAATAAATGGTATTAAATTCAATGCATTTGGATGTTTTTGTGAAGATGTAAGAGCAGAACAAACAGTAACATGAGGTTGGACTGCACCTCAAACACATCTACATGCGGTAGTGACTTCTGAGTTGGTCATTCTGTCAATATTTAGTCAGAAATAGGCTTGGTGTAGCGCTCTGCATCGACTCTTACACACACACACACACACAGCGTGAATCAGGACTCTGGAGCTCTGTGTTCATCAAACACAAACCCATAAGCCTAGAATCTCGCATGGCGGGATGAAATGGACCCAGCCAACCAGAGGAGGTGTAGAGGAGGAAGAGGCCTCCTCATTGGTCGTCGGTATGCTGGTTTGCATAGTGATATCTCTGAACGCCATGTGGTTGGCTCCTATGCTGTAGCTGTGCATAATGTATGTGGGGTAGTAGAGAGATGCAGGTTGTGGGGTGATGTGCGGTTTTGGTCTAGGAGGGTAAAAATAGGACAGATTCATATCAGGGGTGGAGAGAGGATTCTAAAGTGCAGAGAGAGATGTTGTGTTACCATTAGACACTGAACACAGAGAGAGATGTTGTGTTACCATTAGACACTGAACACAGAGAGAGATGTTGTGTTACCATTAGACACTGAACACAGAGAGAGATGTTGTGTTACCATTAGACACTGAACACAGAGAGAGATGTTGTGTTACCATTAGACACTGAACACAGAGAGAGATGTTGTGTTACCATTAGACACTGAACACAGAGAGAGATCCTGTGTTACCATTAGACACTGAACACAGAGAGAGATCCTGTGTTACCATTAGACACTGAACACAGAGAGAGATGTTGTGTTACCATTAGACACTGAACACAGAGAGAGATCCTGTGTTACCATTAGACACTGAACACAGAGAGAGATGTTGTGTTACCATTAGACACTGAACACAGAGAGAGATGTTGTGTTACCATTAGACACTGAACACAGAGAGAGATCCTGTGTTACCATTAGACACTGAACACAGAGAGAGATCCTGTGTTACCATTAGACACTGAACACAGAGAGAGATCCTGTGTTACCATTAGACACTGAACACAGAGAGAGATGGTTCTCATCTGATGATGTTCATTCCTGTCTCTGTGTGGCACGCATACATTCACACACACACACACACAGACACACACACACGGGTGTGTTTGCATGTGTATGTCTGAATCTGTGTGTGTGCCTCTGCCATGGACATTCCGGGCACATGGCAACACAAGCTAAATATAGCCCGGCATCACAGCAGGATCACCGCTTCCTCCTGCAGGCATGGATCCCTCCGTCATACTACTCTCCATCCCTCCCTCCCTCCTTCCCTCTCTCTTTCTCCTTCCAGCCATCATGGTACTCCCTCCCTCCCTCACCCACCCGCTCGCCCTCTCTCACTTAATCGCACGCCCTCTCTCTCTCTCCTTTGTCATGCAACTCCCTCTCCTTCTCCTGCTCTCTCTCGGTCCCTCATTCTTCCCTCGCTCCATCCCCTCTGTTTGTGAGCATGCTCAGTGGGCTTCCTCTCTGGGTCACTAGGGAAGCCCATAGCAGCAGTAGAATTATAAACACACTACAGTATAAATGGTACAGTAGCGCCAGCATATGTTGTATTTCTCTCTCTCTCTCTGCTTGTGTATCTTTATTTTGTTGTAAATAGACTGCTATATTCTGTTGCTGACACAAACAAACACACACAGCTGTTTTTAGCACTTCTCTAATACTGAAAACACATGACCCCATTTGCTCCCACAGTACTCCCGGGTATGGATGCCATCCTAAATTTGCCCTCTAAAACTCTGAATCATGCAATACACACACCGACCAACACGCACACACCCGCTCACATGCATGTACGCATTCACACACGCACAGACACACACGAACACATACACACTGGACCCTCACATTATGATAAAACATGGTTGCAGGAAGTGACCCAGCTGACAGTGACTACAGTTGGTGTAGGCCTATTATTGCTAGCTACCATTCTGATCTAATCATACAGGGATAATAGTGATGATTCTATCTTTATAAAAAGTGTTTTTATACACACTGGCCAACACTATGATGTCATACAGTCACACTTGGTTCCAAGCCAAAGTGTTCTACAGGCTTCCTCAATTGCTCAAGTGTTGAAACCACACACACACACTTAGCGTGATGGCAGAGAGCTGCTGGGAGCATGTGGAATAATCCCAGTTTGATCTGGCACAGAGCCCAGTGTAGTATGACATGGCTCATAGTCTCACTACTTCCACTTCTCTCTCTCTCTCTCTCTCTCTCTCTCTCGTACAAACACAAACTTCTCCCATGCTTGAAGAAGAGAAGGTTTGTGTGTGTGTGACGTTGGAGGGGAGGCTGTCAGTCAGAACAGAAATATTAGTAGGACAGTAGGATTTCATTGCCCCTAGACACTGATTTAAGGTCAGTATTGCGTTTCCCCCCATAATTATTAAGGTCAGGATTTGGGGAGGGTAAGCAGATCCTAGATCTGTGCCCAGGGGATGACTTATAATGCAAAAATTACCATAGATTTGTTTCTAATGGTAAATCCATCGTTCTCCCATCTAAGAGAAATAGGAAGTCAAATTTGTCATCAAGGGGAATCTGATTGGTGGAGAGCCCAGCAGGAAATGTTCTCATTTGCCCTTCCCTCTGTGTGTGAAAGATGTTTCCTGTCGATCTGTCCACACACTGACATGGGGTTTAGAGCTAACTCCTCCCTCCTTCTTCCTTCCCTCCCTTAACTTCCTTACTTCCTCCTCCTCCCTCTCATGTCCCCTCCTCATCCTCCACCCAACCCTGTGTCGTTTGCTAAAAAGGGCATTTGCCAGCTTTTTGTCTGCACCTATGCCTCTCTGTGTGTGTGCGTGTGTGTGTGTGTGTGTGTGTGTGTGTGTGTGGCGGGTGACATCATCAATGCTGCGCCATATGGTTGTGTCAGGAGCTCTGGGTAAAACTCTAGCCTAAGGAGTAACAGAGATATTACTGATCTAGGAGCAGTTTATACTTAAAACTGACCTCATAACAGTGTCAATGGGGAATTTTATCCGGCTCCATATCATAGCTTGCACAGACTGAAGGAGTAACAGAGTAAACCCATACTGCACTGCAGGAAGCTGGTAGTAAAACACATTATCAGCTTCGGGGGGGGGGGGTCATCCACAACCCTTTTACTAACCCTCAACACACATGCTCACACACTCATTCTCTAAACCTAAGATCTTAACGTGGTAAAAGTGTGTCAGGTGGTGCAAACACACACCCTCAAACCATCACAGGGTAGGGTGATGTAGTCATACTGTGTTCCTCCCCTCCTCAGGCCACTCTCTCTCTCTCTCGCTCACACGCCAGAGTCGTGAGTAATGAGAAACTCAGAGAGCCAGTTAACTTCTCTTCTCTGCCTCACAAAAACAGTTTGCCAGAGGACATGAGAAGAAGGAGGAGAGAGAGGAAGAGGAGGAGAGAGAGGAAGAAGAGAGAGGAAGATGAGGGGAGAGAGGAAGAGGAGGGGAGAGGGGAAGAGGGGAGAAGGCGAGAGAGGAAGAGGAGGGGAGAAGGAGGAGGAAAAGCAGGTGAGTGTGTGTGTAAAAGAGAGAGAGAGAGAGCTTTCATGCTTTCAGTTGATTCACAGGCCAAACCATGCCAACTCTTGGAGACACACACACACACTGACTACCAAAACGACACACATACCACCAATTCCATCAGTGACTCACCAACTTCTACACAACCAACACATCACAGCCCACCA